TTATGCATTTTTGTGACATAGCAGGTATGTCATAAGGCAACAAAAGAGTTAAAAACGTCTTTCATCATGGTGACCCACATTTGGCCCCTCAGAGAGTTAGGCTACTGGAACCACAATCCTGAGATTACTGGTCCGATGTTGAGGCTTAGATCGGTCTAACGATGTGTCCTTGGAAAAGGCACTTTACAGGAATTTCATATTTGGCTCGTTCATATCAAAGTCAAAGATGGAGATAATCCAATTTAGAGGTCCTGCCTCTTAAATAACCGTACAGCGTTACATGAGGGGTTAAACCTATAAAATTCACACATTTTTTTTTTTCAACCGAGAGTGGATACTGTGGATATGTGTAGAAGGTCACGTAAGTTCCGAATGGAAGGCTCAAGTAGACTTTTACCCGAAGACGTTCTTTTAAAAAAGGACATATGGTGAGTCCTACGAAGCATGCTCGATGGGACATGCTTTCTTGGGACCAGAATATAAACCCATGGTAAACATGATCAATTCTGAATTGTGGTGTTCGAGAGAAGGTCATCAGGATCATGCGGTGGAGAGAAGTGTACTTCCTGGAAGAGTGGACGTGTGGATATTGTATCTCTGTGGTGCCTGCTTCTGAGGATTGTCCGTACCCCTTTCAGACTCTGCCTCCTTTGGCTACAAGAAATGGGTAGATAGAGCTGGAGGGGAGGTGGGGAGGGGGAGTATACAAGAGGCTGGTGCGCGCTCAGCCAGCAGGGTGTTGTTGGGGCTTTCGTCGACTGAAGTGTGGTGCTATGACACTGCTGAGTCTGAAGTGTTGAAAAACGTGCGTTGATCTGAGAGGGCGTGATGCAGCTGCCTTAAGGTCGGCTGTGGCTGTTTGAGTGAGAGCTGGGCTGTGAGAGTGTGTGTAGCTGGCGTGAACTGTGAGAGGATCCTGCACAAGAACTCCTTTATAATATAACATATGATGTTGAGATACACGTTGAAGATTCACATATCTATTTGACCCATCTGTCTCTTTCATTCTTGCCCATGATTTGTAGAAAAATGGTCAGAGAAACAGGTCTGCATTTGCATTTTGCCTTTCTGATATAATTATCATATTATATAAATATTTATTTGAAGAGTTTGATGGCAAAATGGTCAAAAACTTTTGAATTTCTTTCAAATTTAAAAATGGTGGTCTCTGTCACTTCTTAGTAAAAAATGTTTCTCAACACTATTCTGCTATGAGAGTGATGGATGTAAGGAAATGTTTTTGGTGGGGGGAGTTTCGTTTGGGGGGGGGGTTGGAAACTTACAAACGAACTGAGAGATGTTGTTTGGGCATAAGGAACTGACCACGTTTCCCAATCATTGGCTGTTATCCTTTGATCTCCCCTGCTGGCCATGTCTTTCTAAGCACTTTTGCAGTTCCTTCTCTCTCTCTGGATTTCCTGGATGAGTTGTACCTTGTTGTCCAGAGTGTTTCCGACTGAGCCAATTGTGAGTTTTTCAGTCATGTTAAAGAATTGTTTTGTGTGCAAAGTATGAAATGAAGAAGAGGGCTACGCCAGAAGGTCCTGCTTTGATAATTCGAAACGGAGAAAAGTTTCCTAGGATTTAGGGCAGTAAATGAAAGAAAGCTTAATTTTCACAATGGTTGCATTCTTAACCTTTTTTGTAATAAAAATTGCTTGTAATCTGTCTTTATTTCTTGACTTGGGGAGCTGGATACTAAGATTTTAATGTTTTGAGCCTACAATCCAGAACTTTTTTCTGAAGAAAGTGGAGAGCATTCAGTTTTTTAAAAGTGTGTTTGATAAAATTTCTCTTCTCAAAATGAATAATTACCATTTTGCTGTTGAGCGCTTCACATTTATATAAAAATATGTTTACAATGTTACTGTACAAAGCTTGGAGTGTTCTCTTGGGAGGTGATTACTTTCCATGACATGCAGCTTTCTATGCTGTAATAACTGTACGTTTATTATTTCTCAATGCGTGTCCAGTAAATGTGAGATTTATTCTCCTTCAAACTGGCAGTGGAAATGTGGATGCTATAAAGAACAAATGAGGGCATTTGTATTCAGATGATAAAAGGGTTGATATTTCTCTCAATCGATTCTGCCTTTGAAGTAAGTCAGTTTTATTGAGAAAGATTTCAATTTTATGCTTCTAGAGCTTTTTGCTATTTTTTTCCCCGCTTTTCTCTTGGTTATTTTGATATTTGTGCGGTGGCCTGGGAAATCCAGGCAGTCTTTTTTTCCCCTGTGTAAACTGACAGTGCCATATCAGAGCCCTTTTGTTTCCTTGCATGCCATAGATTTAATCTCTAAAAATATTTCAAATTGAAATGTAAAATGGGAGTTATGCCCGTTTTCATTTAGTAACTTTATGAAGCCCAATGTTGAAGAAAAACTCACTTCAAATTGTGAAGTACGGCAATTTTATCTACAGGACTTGTTTTTGGCAATATCACACATGAAATATGTCTTATGAACAACAAAAGAAAGTGGGCCATCTAGATGCACATGATATAGAGGAAACAGGTCCATTTTTCAAAGGAAGACTAACAAAATGTGCTAAAAAACTCACTCAATTTTTGTTTTCAACTCTGATTTCTGGCCATAAGCATCAAAGGGCACTCCGAAACAAGATTTCTGTGACGTCGTTTTTAATAAGTTCAGTTTTCTGATTTCGAATCTTTTCACAAAAGTGGTTGAAAGTAAAGAGATGAAGATGATTCAGGTTTAGATTTTTGAAAATAATCAATAATTTTTATAGTGTTTGGGGTTTGTTTCTCCATTACAAACTGCATCTTCTTCCTTGTTTTCCCAGGCCCAGGCATAGTCAGTTATCATTTTCAAGTACTCAGCTTTTCTGTTCCTATTATTATTTAGGTTGCTCATTAAGTTCTTTGAATGTGGTTATGCATATACTATAACAGAGAAATATATTTCTTTCTACTGTCAGTCTTGTGCCATTGAATTTTGAAAATTGATTACTTATTTACTATCTACATACAGGTACTTCAAAAATCTCACTACCACAATGATTCTTTTATCAACGCCGTAAATGCTGTGCATTTTATTGAGCAGGTCCTCATGGCTCGCCGTTGTTTCTAAAGATTCCAGTTCGAGCCCCATTTTGTCTCAAACCTTTCTCCTCTGTGATCAGTTTACAAAGTCCCACTCTTTCGTAAGTTTTACACATAATATATCAAATCAAAAGTTTTTTCTAGGGAGCAAAGATTGAAAATTCTACCATTGAATAGATTGATGCAATCAGTGCTGTTTTGTTTAACGGAAGTTCGAGAGGTTTTTCAACTAATTTTTTTTCTTCGACCGTCCTGGAATGTTTCCTCTCTGCCCGGTGTCTTGATTGGGAGACCAGGCGCTCCGTCTTTTGAAATAACGTACATTGTATTGTTTTGTTGAGCAAATGAACGTACGTAAACGAAACTTCCTCAACAACAACAACAACAACAACAGCAACGACATCAACAGCTATAATAATAATGACTTCAGCAACAGCAGCAACAACACCAACTATAACGACTACAACAGCAACAATAACAATAATGAGAACAAAGGCAACAACAAGAACTACAACAACAAAACGACAACAATAACAACAGCAACAACAACGACATCAACAGCTATAATAATAATGACTTCAGCAACAGCAGCAACAGTAGCAACAACACCAACTATAATGACTACAACAGCAACAATAACAATAATGAGAACAACGGCAACGACAAGAACTACAACAGCCACAATAATGACAACAACAAAACAAAACAACAACAATAACAACATCAACAAGAGTGTTATGTTCAAGCTGTACAGTGTCACAGACTGTTGAAAGGTTCACCTTTTTTCTCTTAGGAATTCACCACTGAGCCGGCCTGTTCATTCATCCTTCACCTTATTGCTTGTGTAATGTCTAGCCATTCACACAATGACTAGAAGATTTTCAACGTTACATTTTTCATCATAGTTGTCTGAACAAATTTCAAGGAGATACTTTTTGTTACCATTTGGCCTTTTATCTTCTGCTATAAGATGTCTTTCCCAAGTACCAAAGGTCAAAACAATTGTGTGCCCTTGTAATGAATACACGTAACATTTAAAATGAAATCTTGATGTTTTCTCGTTGTGGGGTCAACCGCACTTTTTTTGTGTTTTTGAGTGTGTGTACAGAACTTGTGCCGTGTGTGTGTGTGTGTTGAATTCACGCCACAAGGCCATCTGCAGTAGATATAATAGTTCCTGTTTTTTTTGTTAAAAAAGGTATGTTAAATCTTTGACCTCTGGTCTTTAAAGCGTCAGTCTAGCTTTGTTAGGTTGTCAAAGGTTGCTACTGATAGAGCCTTCTTTTCCACTATTTTGGGGTGGGGGGATGGGACTTATTTCTGTCTATTTTATTTGCTTTTTCTCAATGCTGAATTACTATACATGTATAGCAATACAACAAATGGAGCCACTTGTAATACTCGGCTGTCTTTAGACGTAACGTAAAACCCGAATTTTCTTACAACAACAATGTGTGGTAATTCCTCAACTTCAAGTGACTGTAGCTTTGGAGCAAATGCAGCTAGACCGATACCATCTTCACCTACTAGTAGGGCTTGATATAGTATCTTTAATTTGATACTCATAGCACCACATTGACTGAGTGTGATATGTGACTCATTTTGTTACTTTCCTTCTCATTAATTCAAATGAAATAAATAGGCCTATAATTATGTTTCTGAAAATTGGTCATTTTTGGTCTTTTCTCAGAGGCATGAGATTGTGATCTGAAAATGTGTTTCCATTCAGCAACTTCCAGCTTTTTCTTATACTGTGGAGGTTTTTGTTCTTCTATGTTCTGATTAACTGATCAGTTAATTTATTCATTCATTCTTTCATTCAACTATTTGTTCTTTTAATTATTGAAATTTATTTGCTGAGTTATTTATTTATTTACTTATTTATTCATATCTTTTTCTGATAATGATGGGCTTGTGGATAGAAGAGAAGCAAAGCAAA